AGATTCAATATTATCCAGACTGTTTTCTTTTGTAATAATGTTGAATCTTGAGAAACGCCATCAAAACTACTTTGAGGTAAATGGGGTTTAAGATTCAAGATTCTCCAGGCAAAGCACACTCGGCAGCTTCAACGGTTTCGTTGCCTTGCAGGTAAAATGGTCAAGCCTTCAATTTTTGGGCAACAATGTGAAAGGAACTCATTCCTATCTAATTGCTATTTGATCGGGCACGCTTCGTGCAATGCCGGGAAGGTGTCAAACTGTGGACTCTACTTCGAGTCTGTTGTGAAAAGAAAACCACCATGAAACCATTTCTAGACTCAACCAAGCATGCCCTTGGAGTTGCTTTTGGATTTCCTGCACGCACTCCAGGTGATGAATTTCCTTGGCCAAACTAACAAAGCTGGGTTGTTTGAATATGCCAGATTGTAGTGGGTGGCTTTCCTTGTTGTGGCGTCCCACTACAGATTGCAGATTCGGATTGGAGATTCACAGTTTGAACAACCCAGTTAGATGGATGCGCTCATGTTCAATCACGAGGGCTCTTGTTGGCCAGGCCACTTGCCATAGTTCGGAGATTCGTAATGTCGACCCTAGACTAATCAACCTTGTGGATTTGTTCTTGCAATTAAACTCCCCCAAAAGCGACGGGATTCCATGCAGTCAAACCAGGGGTCTTCATGAATCCTGGGTTCCTATAGCCCTTTCACTCCTTAGGTCCTTGGTTCCCATGACCGCCTACCTCTTGTAAGAAAAGCCCAGGGCAATCAAAAGTCATCGAAGGGTTTATGAATCCTGGGTCATTCCCCCTAGTATATACCGGCATTCGGCACATCTCCCCTCGGGAGGTGCCAGACTCGAACACGCTGTGATTGTCTCTCAGCCCTCGTGCGGAGGTTGCTGGACCTGCCAAAGCCAAGGCCTCTCCCAAAGGCGCCTTTCTGGGGGCTGGAGAGAGGGGTGAAGGAGTGAGCTGCGAGGCGAGCCTGAGATATTAACTCTTGTCGCTTGAGCTGCATGCGCACATGACGTGCTGCTGAGAGGCTTTTCGAGTAGAACCCGAGCTGCATCCAGCAAGCATGATGAGTCTGAAGGAAGGCGCCCCCCAAAATGGGTTGGTCTCGTTTTGCTTTCCATCAAGCAGAATTCCCAAAGGGGAGGACTCCTTTTATTTGTAGAGGAGAGCTTGTTGGGAATTGTTTTTTTTTTGGTTGGGATTCTTTCCGATACTTTGCGGCAGCGGCGCCTCACACCTCAGAGCCTCACGCCTCGCCCCACGAGGCGGTCTGCTGGTCACGGAGTTGCGGAAGAGGCTGGGGCGGAGCATCATCGGACTCGCGGTTTCGAAAATGGCCCGGACGGGCTTTCTTCTCTTTGGGTGTGTGAACGTGTTCTAGTAAATGAGATCTGATCGCTTAGAAACCAATATGGTAGAACCCGTTTAGGGTCACCTGGCAGCTCGGGCTCGGATTCAAACGCAACCCAAAGTTGAACCTTGTTTAATGTGGCCCCCCCCTCAACAGTCAAACCAGTGCTTGGGGGTCCTGAATAGGGGTCTTACATATTGCTTTAGTATTTCCTCTACTGTTGTTTTGCAAGCACTTCCTGTTGGAATTGCCAGCACTTACTCTCAGACACCCAGTGCTTAGTTTACCTACTTTTAAATTTGGTATTGCCAGGACTTACTTTAGATTCTCAGTGCTTACTTTAGTATTGCCGAGTTTAAATCTAGTATTGCCCGGACTTACTTTTAGATTTGCCAGTACTTGGTTGAGGACATTAAAGAAGACCCCTAACAGTCATATGAAACAGGATCAGGCGGCCCCCCTTTGTGTGGCTGATTGGGCTTGGATGTATATTATCAAGAACTTATCTCAAATTTGATGGCTTGGGGACCACTTGCAAAATGGATTTTCTAGCTCTCAGGCCTTTCTTTGCCTTCGAGCTGAGAAGGGCTTGGTTAGGCGAACCGCCCATCAAAAGTAAATGCCAAGCCCCCTCAACAAAGTTGGACATCAAAGAAACCACCAAAACAGTCACATTAAACAGAATCAGGGCCGCTTGTGGGCAACCCGCTTTGTGTGACTGGTTGCCCTTACTCTTTTTCTTAATGTAAAGAAGGTATCTTAACCTTCATGGTTGGAGGTGCCACCTCAAGAAAGGAATTCCTAATGCTTCCCCGAGTTTGTTTGTTTGGCGATTTTTGTTGCCCTATTTGTTCGCTTTTTGTTTCTTCTCGTCAACAACAACTTGACCTAAAGCATGGTACCGAAGCAGTGTGGGGGGTCAGGGTATCAGTATTAAACCAGGTGCGACAGCACTTCAAATAGGGGAAATACTGTGATATCACTTGACCCCAAGGACCCAATTGTATCGCAGCCTTGTTCCTGTGCGGGTTTCGGGGAATGGCACGGATAGGCCAGCGCCTCCCATGCCCCCATCTCGCATGTATTGTCGAATCGTACACCAAGGCCTGGGCTTGGTTGAATCTAGTAAAGTCTAGACACGAAGAATCAAAATGCCAGCTGCCAGCAGACTTGAACCAGGTTTTGATTGCGCCTCAGTTGGGTGAGGTTATTGGCACCCTTTGCTGGGCAGAAAATACATGGTCAAATGTTCTGCAATCACCACAGAGGGTGCTCCCAGCGTTGAAACTCCATATTCCATATATTTGGGGGCGAGGATAGGATTGCTTGCTTTGCAACCTTGTTAGACGCTTGAGGGAAGCAGCAACCCCCTTGTTGGATTGGTTTTACTGGGGTCCATCAACGCGACATCCTCAAAATTGCCGCCCTTTACACGATGGTTTACAGGAGGTTATCCATCCACACGAATTGTCAAGAGCTCCTCAAACTGTTTTACCACGAGGGATTCTAATTGCCCATCGGCTTCCTCTTTTGGACCATGCCGGCAGGTGGCGTCATCGTTTTTTCCTTTTTGTTTGGGGCTTTGAAGCTGCCAGAGCCGGAAGGATCTTTCAAAACCCGGGCCATGGACCGAGCGGCGCGCGAAGCCTGAGGTTAAAGGCGCTGGGGCTGCCCATCAATGGCTCCAAGGCAGTGCTGGAGGCCAGATATGAGGCGCGCTGTGGCTTGGGCTTGGAGGAGTCAAGTTCTTCAGGGATAGACCGGTGTGAGGAGAACCGTGGCCACCGACAGGAGTGTTGAGCCACATTTTTGTTTCTTGTGAGGGTGTTGAAGTGTTGGAGACTGCATTGGCGCTTGTGAGCTTTCGACTCTTGTGGGGGTGTCAACCCATTCATAAGCTTGAGTACGACCTCAAGGGGCAAGGGCCTGAATGTGGTTGAAGCCTTTGTCTGTGAATTTCTCGACGCCTGCGAGTGGCTCGCTTGAAGTCTACAGCGCCGGTGCATGTAGATTCAGAGTCATCAATACGCTAGGTTTGAGACCTTGGCCTTTAATGAGAAATCCAGAAGATCCGAATGCTTCACCGCTCAATCACACAAGGTGGGACCGCGCCTGCTGTCCCACCGCAAACGTGGAAGAACCAGTCATCTCTCTTTGAACTCTTCCAGTCTCAGTTCTCCGACATGTATTTCTTGTTTCGGCAAGCTACGGATGAGTCTTTTGGCCCCACAAGGGTTCTCTATTTTCTTTTGGCATTGAACGGTTTCTAGGTCCAAGCTTGTTCTAGGCGCATGAGTTTCAATCCTCGTGTCGGAAGGTTTTCCCTCGATCCCGGCGGTTTAGCTGAGTCGGTTAGGCCGCCGTCTCCAACCAGGACTTCGGGGGAGCTGGGGAGCTGGGGAGCTGGGGAGGGGGAGTTGTTTCTCTCTTGACGGGATGATCTTGCAGCTAAAGGCTTCTTGGAAGGAGATGGTGAGCTTTGAAGGAAATGCAAGCTGGGCAACAATCCTGAGAAGAGGAAATATGGCATTGGAGTCCGTGTTGGACTATTTCCTCTTTAACCATTCGTGCTCTCAATTCGAGTGCCAGGAGACATTTGAGGGTCTTTTGTGCGAGGCTGATCTTCTACCACGACACAGCCACACTGGGCATTGGGAATGGATTCCCTTTGAGCTCCGTTCATTTGCACGCCATCCACCATTCAAGCCAATAGCCTGGTTTGTTGGCTTTCTGGTCTGCCGGTTTGGGAAGGGCGGAGGACCATTCAACTTTCTCGTTTTATGGGGAAGTCTTTGGACCTTTGGGACCGATGTCTGGCTTCCCTTGCAAGCCTTTGGGCATCAAACTCTCAATATCCCTGTTGACTTTGGATCTAAGAAGGAGAGCCCTCAGAAGAACCTAGACGAGTTCCCTAGGACCAGCCCTTGTCCGGATGAATCTGAAGTCGACACATTTGGCGTTAGCGCAAAAGGCGCAGTGGTTGGCAACGAACCAAATTTCATAGGTGCCGAGGCCAAAAGAAATTGACTGAGTACCTCTTCGTCAGGACTCGGAGCCGCCCGCTGAGGTGCGGGCAAGGGGGGCGTGAAATGAACTGACTCATCGGTTGCTTAGACTTCGAGCACGTGTGCTCGCAGGCATTTATGACACATCCCCTGCCACACTGACCGCTTTTCGTGGGACGCCTGCGCTCCGAACTGGGCGCCGAAACCAAAACCCGAGCCTAGACCCTGCACCTAAACCCTAACCCGAAGCCTCAACACTCATACTAGACCCGAAACCAAAACCTGCAGCCCGAAGGTGAACCAAAACGAAATCTCACACTCCAATCCTACACCTACACCCGAAACCAAAAGCTAAACACTGAGCCTACACTACAAACCTTAAGCCTGAACCCTCAGCGAAACCACAACCGTAAGCCTTACACCTAAACCCCCAAACCAAAGCCGAAACCCTGAACCTGAACCTAAACGAACATCTAGCACCTGAAGCCCTAAACCGAAACGTAAATAATATTGAATACCAAAGCTGCTTTTTGGCCAGCATGCTAAACATTCCCTCACATGGCCTGCATGGCTGCCATCCCGTTTGCAAGCGCACATGCCAGTGTCGACGCGCTTAGGCCCCTGCGCTGGGGGCTTTGGGGCACGATGTGGTAGATCACGCGCCTGCGCCGTGAATAATGGGAGCGCCGCAGCCATGAAGTTTTATAGCGCGCAGGGTGCGTCTGTCCTTATCTGTAGCACACAATGGGTCGTGGCCGTGGTGTCATCATGATGCTGCCAAAAACATTGAGTTCATCAGGGTGTTGTTGTGTTTCCCGACAGCGCAGAAAGGTTATTGGTTGCAGTACCATCATCATGCCTTATCACTGACGGAGTTGATTCGAGTTCAGAAACATGAGCCAAACCGGTCACTCGCACGAAATTTGGGGTCTACGCTCATGTAATGACTGGCATCAGAGCAACAACAAAACACCCAAGAGCATTAGTCAGACAGCGCCTGTGTGAACCAGCGAGGGGCCGCATTGTGCCCATGCGGCCCCACACCCCTGGGCCCAGTGTTTGAAGCAGTAAGCGTTGTGCTTACAGATAGCCCGTGCCGTAGTGGTTCGTTGCAGTATGTTCATGGCTCCCGACTGGCAGGGCCGCAGAAACATGAGCCACCCATGGGCCCCTCCTATTTTGATGCCCGTAATTTCGGTCAAGATATCAGACAGTCGAGTTGGGAGGGACGAGAACAGGGAAGCGATTCCTCAGTTCCAACCGAAAAAGAAGGAACACACCCAGAAGCGCCATGCCAGTCACAGGATCAGGGCCCCGTCGTTCAACTTAGCAGGATAAGGGAAGAACTGCTGGGAAATACAGTCAGGGTGGGGAGTTCCCTAGAAGTTGTGCACACACACACACACATGCCTCAGCCTTTGCGCGCCAGAACTCAACAATCGACAGACAGGAGGCTGGTGGGCGGTCTAAGAGGGTTAGCCATTGCCTTCTTTGGTTTGGGAAACAACACTCGTGCGCATCAGGCGAACCAACCCCACATCTCGCTGTTTTGGGTGATGCCCGGGCGCAGCAGAAGTACCAGGAGAGTCATATCATCCTCTTCTGCTAGCTGCGCATGATTCTGATTTTTTTTTGTTGGAGGATGGCCTTGAGCTTCTCCACCACATTCGAGTGTTTTCGGACTTGCGGGCACTTTTGAACAAGTTTGGCCCCAAGAAAGCCCACCACAGTTCCAGGACTGACCAGCGTTCTTGAAGGCTTCTTTTACAGAATCATTGGGTCAGAGGAGCATCTTGAAGTTTCCCTTGAGCTTTGGGGATCCCTTGTGGTGTTCTGCTGTGTGCAAAGATTCTTGCCAGGTGAAGCGGTCACCGTCGCCGTCGCGATCACCTTTGGCAAAGCGTCCCAAGGCGACGCCGCGTCGATCAAGAGGGGGGCTATCGATGGTCAAGACCGCAGCCGCGGCTTGCGAGTTCGCCGCCTTCTCAAAGGGGCCATGTCGTGCAAAAGTTGGCGCGGAGGAGCGAGAGAACCGAGAAAACCTAGAAACCCGACGGGCCCAACTGAGACAGCATCGCTGGCTCTTATGGCTCTCGCTGTGATCACGCTTTTTAGGGTTTCGCCGTTTTCGAGGTTTTCTTGTTTTCGTGGTTTTCGCCGTTTTCACGGTTTTCACGGTTTTCGCGGATTTCGCGGTTTTTCTGTCGTCACTTTTTTGTGTTTTCGCGTTTTCGGCTGCAAAATCCGCTTAGCGCAAGTCACAAAAAATACATAAAGAACAGCTTGTTTGGGACAGTCCCCTTGCTCGAAATTGGAAAGCTTTCAATCCCTGCTGGTTTGATTCGATGGGAGTTGGGGTAAAGTTACCAGGGTCAGCACGCCCTGCTACTTGAGCTTGGTGGCGCGGGCCGCTTTACAACAGCCTCATATTCAGACTGCACATGTGTCAGGGAGCTGGCTTATTGTTGGCGCATGGACCTTGCACGAACCTAGGAGGAGGGCAATCACGGGCTTGTCAACCTAGCCTAGCTTTCCCCCAGCCAGGGTTTCTGGAAAGCGCGGCCAGGTGGAGCCACAGGTGAGAGAGGAGGCGATGGGACATGGGGCTCGGCAGGGTTGGTGTAGAAGGGACACCAAAGGGACAGCTCTCTTCTTCCTTGGATACATACCTGCATGAGGTTTGCTAAACAGACAAACAGTCCATGGTCCATGTGGAAGGGATGAGAATGGGGGACCACCAAAACCTGGGGATGGAACCCTAATACGGTATAGCAGGCACATGTGAGCGAGTTTGCTGGTTCTTGCATTTTTTAAAAGGGGTTCCTACGGGCTTGGTTGGGTTCCCGATTTGTTTTTCGGTTGCTTGGAGTTTCTTGGGACACCCTAGTCCGCAGTTCCTTGGGTTGAGGGATTCTTCAGGGTTTCTTAGGTTTTTGCGAAGTTTGGTTGGATTCCCAGAGGTTCGTGGGGTTTGGCGCTGGCGCGCCAGGGGTTCCTTCAATTTCCTTCCGGCGTTTCGGGATCGATCCAAAGGAGGAGCCAGAGATGGAGGAGGTAGAGATGGAGGAGTTGGACTCCCCGAGGAGTGATCTGAATGGGAAATTTGGACGCAACGGGTTTCTTTTAGTCTTTTGAACTTCCTTTCGGTTTAACCTCTGGTTTGTGAAAGAGTCTCTTATACGCAGATTGACGTGGAGCTCCAACATGGGCCGGCAAAAGGAGGCTCCTTCATAAACAGGGAGTGTGCGTGGCTTCCATGTGAATGTGCCACAAAGTATTTACATCCGCCTTGCGCCTTCGATACCGTTTGCGTATGCGGCTGAACCCCATCTTATCAGTTCCCACAAAGGGGCGTTTATTCAGTTCCTTCCAACCGAACGAGTTCCCTTTGTGGAAAAGAGACACCATACATTGTTTTCAACGATGTCCAGGACCAGCGCATTCTTGACCTTCAGACCCTTGCTTGTGCGCGTCTGTCTTCTGTCTTTGACTTCCGCTTTGTTTTGCTTCACGATCATCGCAAGGTTCTCTGTCACCTTTGGCCACATCTTCATTCGGGATGTTCAGCCACACCGGCCCTCACCCCTTCCAGGGTAACGCCCCTATTTTTCAAGGACTCTTTTGGGATGACCCTTTTGCCCTCTGGGCTGGTGAGCTGATCTGTGAGGGATTGCAATTCATTCGACTGCAAAGGTGCTGTTACAGACCCTTGCGCCCATGGGAATCGGCTGAAATCGCAGAGCGGTTCTGACATATTGAGGGAGCCCAGGTCTTGGGATCCCATCCTCGCATGTTGCCTTGAAGCATGGGCTACGTCGGTCCGATCAGGGGTAGATCCCTTTGCTTCAACAGTGGAAAGCTTTCCACATTGATTCTTGAAGGTTTCGGGGAGACTCCAAGAGGAGCCAGGTTTTGAGTACTTCAAGGCTGTAGAACTTCAATAGACCCCCTTCAGAGCTTTCCAGCACACCCCCCAGCACGTTTCCTTTTCCTCCTAAGAACCCCTCAAAATAGGTTGCCTCAGCATTGTTTCTTTCCCCTTGGTCAACCTCAAAATCAAGGCGCTCCCCACGAAGCCGTGTTTTCCAGCACCTCAGAACCCCCGCGGACGCTTCGCGCGTCGAGAAACCGCGGCGCCAGGAGCTCCCTGGACTTTGCGGCGGACCTCGAGGCGCAGCTGGACCACCTGGAGGCGGCACATCGGCGCTCGTGGCGAGTCGCTCGCGCCGTTTTATACGCACGCGCGCGCGCGCCCGCGTGCGCTTCGCGCGCCGGTTTCCGCGATTTTGTTGTTCATTGTTTTAAATCTTTTTTCATGTTTTGCGCGAGACGTATTTTTTTGGGTAGCGTTTTGTTTGGTTTCTTGCTTTGGCTGTTTTGGGGACCACGCCTGTTTTGGGAAACTCGCCTTCCCCAATCTTGTCCGCTGTTTGCTTTTCATGCTGGCGCCATATCGGATCATTCACCGTTTGGTTGCCAAGTTAGACAGAGCTTTTTGTTGAGTGGAGTGACGAGGGGGACATGCCATGATATTTCGTTATACTCTCTATGTCCTGCTTCGACTATTCTAAAGTCAGCTTCCTGTAAGTGTAGTGGGAAATGTGTATCTCTACGCATATAAGGATGTTTTCTTTGTTATTTGTTCCTTTTCGGGGGGGGGGGACCTTAGAAGAAACACCAGCCAAGGTAACAAGTTGTCTGTTGGCTTCGTTTGGGAAGGAATTTGCAGGTTGGAAACAGAGAAAGCCCAGCATGGTGCGCAGATCGGACCAACCCCCGCCCCCACCGCTCAAGGGTGCGCCTGGCATGAAAGCCTGGCGCTTTCCGTGGCATCAAGGGCCCCTCCCCTCCCGTGGCTGAACAAATCACGAGCTCCGACCCAGGGTTGGGTCCTTTGTGGACATCCCTTGGCGAGACAAGAGTGGCTGTCGGTCAAACCAACGGTAGCATTTTGGGGTGGGTGCACTACCCATTTTAGTCTATTTTAGTGGGGATTGGGATGTTCACTGGGGGTACGATTTGGATTTTGACCCATGGCAAAATGACTTTCCTTATGAAATTGTAGGGTGGCCCCCCTGCCAGGCCGAGGCGGCGCAGCCCATGCCCGACAGTGCGCCCCTCGCGGCGCTGGTTCCGTCAGAGGTCCAAAGCGCGGCGCAGGCGGGGTTCTCCGGGGGAACTCACAAGGGGCGGCCCTCGATCCTTTTCCTCACCATGCTTCACACATTTCACAAATTTGACACATTTCACCAACTTGACACATTTCACCCATTTCCGGGCGTTAATCAAAATGAGTTGTTTCACTCATGCTCAAGATCCCGGTCGGATTGGGTCCAAAGGTAAATTTGCCCTCATTCAGCTTACCCTTTGGCGGTTCGGACCGCGGGGAGTGCGGAAGTGTGACTCGGGATCTGCCATGCCGAAGGACGCCAGAAGCGCACAAAACACGCAGCAAAGGAACAAGAACACACTGAAGCACGCGACAAAGACCAACACAAAGAAAAGAACGAAGATAAAAGAACAAAGACAAGAGGCCAACAAGCAACGCAACAACATAGCAATGCACGACTCTTAATAATGCACCCAAAGAAGCACGTGGGGGCCTTGCTTGGGCACCGGTTTGGTGGCCAAGCTGTGCGAGCACTGTTGGTGACTCGCCCCTGCAAGCAAGCAAGTTCCGAAGTTACTATGTGGTTTGCTGCGGCGAGGAAGCATGTCCCCAACACTGCTGGCAGTCACGGATTTTTTGGCCAGAACAAAAAATAATGAACTTCACTGGTACAGGGCCCTGCCAAGAAGCATGAGCCTCATGTTTGGCGTCTATTTGGTCCAACCAACTTTTTGGCGCTAGGGGCACTCGAGCGAGTGAGCGAGCGAGCGAGCACAAGAGAGAGAGAGAGAGAGAGACGCCAAGTCAAGGGCATGCTCAACCGTAAGCTCTCGGGGTATGGATGGCATACCACCAACGTACGCTTGTAACGCAGCACGTACCCTTCGCAAAAGTGGCAGTTCTCATCTGCCTTAAGAAGGGCTTACTGCAGTTCCCCCTTGCCCCCTTTCGGCAAAACTGGACAGACAGGAGGCCTCAAAAGGGCTTATTAGCGCGGTTCCCCAAACTACATCCCACAATCGCAAAGTCCCCGTCGGCCATTTTACTGCTGTGGCCGATGTGGCAACCCCGGTTTTTTTGGGATCAAAGGGAGGGGTCGAGAGGCAAAGGGACGTCTATCACATCCGTACATGGGCGGCCACCAAAAGGGTGCGTTCGGCTTTGCATGTCAGGCGGAATTCACTGACTTGGCCCACGTGCTCGGGCGTCCTTGCATCTCTTCTACTTTGAAGCTAGGTAGATGTTTTTACGACATTCTGACCCCCCTCCCACCTTTGCTAGCTATCGACCACGGAGAGGGTGTCCCGCAGCCCGCCTGTTCTTGGCGGCCCATTTCAACCGGGCAAAAGGGATTTTTGTTTTAGCCGCAGTCATCGCTCCAAGCGAGACAGGGGGCGTTTTTTTGCCTAAGCATGCTTCAAGATCCCCACCTTCGAGGAAAACGACAACAACAACAACAACAACAACAACAACAACAACAACAACAACAACAACAACAACAACAACAACAACAACAACAACAACAACAACAACAACAACAACAACAACAACAACAACAACAACAACAACAACAACAACAACAACAACAACAACAACAACAACAACAACAACAACAACAACAACAACAACAACAACAACAACAACAACAACAACAACAACAACAACAACAACAACAACAACAACAACAACAACAACAACAACAACAACAACAACAACAACAACAACAACAACAACAACAACAACAACAACAACAACAAACAACAACAACAACAACAACAACAACAACAACAACAACAACAACAACAACAACAACAACAACAACAACAACAACAACAACAACAACAACAACAACAACAACAACACCGACGACGACGACGACGACGACGACGACGACGACGACGACGACGACGACGACGACGACGACTACGACGACGACGACGACGGCGACGACGACGACGACGACGACGACGACGACGACGACGACGACGACGACGACGACGACGACGACGACGACGACGACGACAACAACAACAACAACAGCAACAACAAACAAAAAACAAGAAGCGAGCAGACAAGACAAGCCAAAGGAAGAAACACAGATTGCTGTCCAGTTTGGACCGTGCCTGAGAGGTTCGCGCCGGGCGTAGGGCTGCGAATTGACCTCGTGTGTGAGGCAACCGGGGGACACCCATTTGTCCAGCTTGCCCTTGAGATGCTTTGGGAGGGTTGGGGCCGGCTTTCCATGCCTGGTTACTGCGAAAAGGAGTTGAGGGAAAGGGACCTCCCCTCAAGCACTTTGGGAATTTTGTAAAGTCTGTCGAGGTTGTCTTGGTGTTCTGAGCAGATGGACATTAACCTACCCCATGGGCACTGGCCTACCCCAACCTAACTGGACGAGACCGACCAGAACCTAAGAGTGGTTTAGGGTTCTGCTGATTTTTCAAAGTTGGACCTCCCTGTCAAGACGCGCATCGATTTTGCTGCTCTTCAGTCAAAGCGGGACCACTGAATTAATTGGGCCAGGGGCCGACCAAAGGCGCGACGGGAGAGGGTACGGCAATTGGGGATACTTGGGCAGTCTTTCTATTCGCATTGAAATGATCCAAAAATAGGCTCCAGTTGAGTTCGGCTCGACAAGGTTCGGGTTAGATAGCAGTGGTTTTATGAATGCCAACACGAAGCAAATCCAAATGTGGACACCTTAGTGATCATCCCTCGCTCATATATTCGGTTGATCTGGGGTCCTGTTCAGTTTGGTTGTCTTCACTGATGACCCCATGTTCATGACTGAAGGTGTTCTTCATCAGGGCTCAGTTTGGAAAGCGATTCTTGGTTGAAACGGTGGTGCTGCTCGACGTGTCGACCATTTTAGTCTTTGTTTAGACCGCCAGTGATGGTGGTGGCGTTGACAAAGTTCCTGGCCACGTTTATTGCTTGCGTGCGATGCGCAGCTTGCCTCGCGCGAGCGGACCGTGAATCTGATTGCAAGGCTTTCCGCTTTGCAGTTACTTGACTTTCGCATCAGGCAGGGGAATCCTCTTTCAGCATCCCGCAAGAGAGCGTCAACGACAATGAGCAGACTATATTGTATGCGTCCGACTCTCACCCTAGTATGTGTATATATATATATAATTATATAAATCTACATATTCAGTATGTACTTACATACAATATCTCACATATATATATATATATATGGTAGGACCCCCCTCCAATACCAAGGTTTTCCTGCTTTAAAATGTACATGTTGCATGTTTTTTTTGTATAGGAAGTCGCTTGTTTGAGGAAAACCTGGAGTTGAGTTGGGGTCCTGCTAAAGATCAGAACACATGTCTTACTACAAGTGCTTGATCATCATTATGTGTCATTGGATGATTATAGATCACATAACTGACTGATTTATAATTCAGTGTTGGAGTTTATAAACGTCCAAGTCTGGTTTATAAACTCTTGATCGTTGGATTGGGGGGGGGAGGGGGGGGGGGGTCCGTGGCAACTCTTGAGGGGGAGGGGGGAGGGGGGGTCCGTGGCAACTCTTGAGGGGGGAGGGGGGGGGTGTCCGCGGCAACTTTTGGGGGTGGTTGCTAGAAAGAGGGCCCCCCCCCTCCCCCTCATCCAACTGCCAGGAGTCCAAGAGTTTAGAGTTTATTAACCAGACTTGGAAGTTTATAATCTAAATTTGCGGGGAATGCTGAGCCTACACGAATTGAGACCATTTCAATGCACAATTTCAATCTGTTTAATAAACAGCTACTGGCTCGGGCAAATTCAAGTCTATCCCATTCCCGTGCTAATAACCACAATGGACTGGTATCTCGAGAGCATCAAAGCGGATCCTGAGCAGATCAATCTAGAATCAGGAGATTTGAACCTCCGAAATATCAAATGTGAACTCCTTTGCAAATAAGATGTTACTTCAAATTGAATTGACATTTTGAATGGAATGTAGTAAGGCCATAGTTCGTGTGAAAATCTATATTCCATTAGAATTTAATTAAGGATCCCTTTCCAAATCGGAGTTAAAGGCAATTATTCAATTGGCCTCTGAACATCATTTCAATTAGGAGCTCATTCCCAAATGTACTTAGATTAAATGTGGCTTAAACAACTGTGGTATTTGTTTTCATGACGAAGCCAGTACAACTAGAACTTAGGTTTAAAATAGAGTTTGAAAATGAGCTCCCTTGCAAACATTGCTTTAATTAAATGTCAATTGAAATGTTAAATACAATCTAGTAAGGACAAGGTTTTGCATTGCTATTCATTATTCTTGTTGGTCCGGATTTTCTGTCTGTTTTGTTCTTTTTGGGCCTGTGCAAGTTTCAGAGCTTTCATCTTCTTTAGGTTCTGTTTTTTGGGCTGAGAAGGGGCGTAGGCCCAGGTTCAAACCCCAGTAAAATGTGACGAAGCGGGTGGCCCACTTTGGCATTTCAGAAATGTTGGCTTGGTTCACACAACCATGAAGGCAGGATTTCACCAAACGTGCTCAAATGAGGTTGGGTCAACATACTTGGTATAGCAACCATTTGAGAATCAATTGGACATGGATTTGGGGGTGTTGCTTGGTGCGCAATGTATTGGCCAAATGATTGGTACGGTCATCAGCCCCCCTTACCGATGGCCTCAGGCTCCTGACTGGCATTTTATGGGGCTCAAGCTACAAAAACAGATTGTGTTGCTTTACTACGTGTGCTCGAAACCAGTGTAAACATAAAAGTTTCCAATCAAAACCATGCTTGAAGCCGAACACAAGCCGTCTTGGACTTATTGCCTTTTTCAATCCTCAAAAGACGAAACACCTGCTACCGTAAAGAGGGTGACAAATCATCAACAACACCTTATGTTGCAGCGCTTTCAGTCATGTGGAGAAAGAGGAAGTGCAGAGTAGATATGAAGTGAGAATCGGAGGGAAACAGCTTTGTGTCCCAACAGGAATGGTTGTGCTGTCCTGCAACGCTGGTGCAAGAGTTCGGAATACGAATCGCAGCAACGCATAGGCTGGGTTGGAGAACTTGTGACTTGAGCCAAACGTGGCCACCACTTGTATATGTTACAAACATACATGTCGCTGTGGTACTTTTCACAAAAACAACAGCAATGAGTTCATAAACTGTCCAATTGGTTGCTGGAAGTCACCTCTACATCTGCCCTGCAATGCATCCATCATTTGCCCCACAAGTCAAATACAACAAAAAACCTTGGTATTGGGAGGGGGTCTTAGCATATATATATATATATATATATATATATATTATATATATAACCATATTAGGTGACACATTCACATTTTGATCACATGGCAAATGCGAACCCATCAGCCGGGCTTCCGCCCTTTGCCCTCGCCATCCGGAACACCGAAGGCCAGGCGCAAAGCATCAGCCCGGCGCAGAAGGAGGCGGAGAAGGAGGAGGCGGAGTTTGCAAAGGCGGGTGGTGGGGGGTGGGGTGGCGGGGGGGGGTGGGGCGGGGGCTTGGGGGTGGGGTGGGGGCTTGGGGGTGGGGTGGGGGCTTGGGGGGGGGAAGCTTCGAAAGGTAACATCCCCGCAATTTTTCCAGCCGATTCTCAGAGCATGCTGGGTTTTGGGCTTTCTAAATGGGAGCTTTCAGGGGGATCCCACTGAAAATGTGACCTGCTAAAACACACAAGGGGTGGGAGTGGCGGGGTTCTTTCATACCAGGCTTTGGTTCCAACTGGTGCTTGCTTGTTCAATTCTTTTGAAGAATCTTGGAACATTTGAGCCAGCTTTGCGAGCACGCAGGAAAAACGAGGACTGGGTTTTTGACCCGCAACCTGTTTAGTTTTCCGGTCCCATAAGCCACAAACAGTCTTCGGGTTGGAGAAACGTTTGTCCCCAGACAGCCATCAGTGCTAAAGTTCAAGCAGGGTATGACATTGCCTTGGCTTCCTTCAGTTTTGCATTTTCCAGGGGCCGCATTTCGGAGTGCCAGACGTTTTTAAACTGGACAGAAAGGGAAGCGCAAACGCAGCTGATCCTTTTGAACGCTCTCAGCATTTGCAAACTTGGCTTCAAAGTTAATCCGCAAGATGCCAGGTCTTGTGTTTTCCTTGGGCTGTGACACAGACGGATTGTGCCAGGGCTGGTTTTGCCTTGAGAGATGAGGCCGTTTTTTTTGTTTTTCATTTTTTCTCCAGGGGAGTTCCCTCAAAGGAAACAAGCGACAGTGAGGTTTGGGGTCATTCTCACTTATTTGTTGCGACTGTCGACGTAACACGTTTTTGGTACAAGAAACAAAAAACGTTCCCCGCCATGCAACTGGGTTTCCTGAGGCCCAAAAATGCTGCCGGTATCCCAGAAAGTGCCGGAAGGCTTCCTAAGGGTCGAACACAGGTTCCGATCGCTTGCGCCAAAGGACAATCAATTATGGGTGTAGCGTGCAACAGAAACTCATTTCTTAGAACCCAATCAGGGTTATTCAGAATAATGGCATCGGTTGATACAGAAGCTCTGAACTCACTTTCTTTCTTTCTTTCTTTCTTTCTTTCTTTCTTTCTTTCTTTCTGTCTTTCGTTCTTTCGTTCTTTCGTTCTTTCGTTCTTTCGTTCTTTCGTTCTTTCGTTCTTTCGTTCTTTCGTTCTTTCGCTCTTTCGTTCTTTCGTTCTTTCGTTCTTTCGTTCTTTCTCTTTCTTTCTATGTTTGAAAGATAAGGGACCCCCTTGTTTGTCGGGACCCCCTCTTCAAGGCAATTGAGCAGGACTTCACCATATTTCCTGCGAACAAAGGGCTCACACACCAAACTCAGCTTGGCCTTGCTCTTCCCAAAAAATGGGACGGGAGTTCGACCCAGCAAATCTGGGGCCACCACCTCACTTGCGCAAAGGACCTACGGGACGGGGTGCCTCAAAACCGAGTCTCATTCTCAAGGACCCCAGCCGCAAGTTTTGCGCGAGGATGCCAAGGCGGAGGGTTTGGAGCCCTTAGCCACGGGAGAAGACATGCTGCCGGACCGGTACAGGTGCTCCGAGTGTGGGATGGGGTGGGATTGGGGTGACAGGGAGTGGTTTGGGCAAACATAGCGGAAGAAACAAACAACCCCTGAAAAGCCGCAAGCAAAACACAAGACCAAGCCATGTGGGCGATCTTGCAGGCCGAAAGCCTTCAAACCCAACACCCAGCAGGATCCCAGACCTGATTTGTGTCCGACGAGGCTCCCTTGAAAGGAATCCGGAACATGTGCTTGAAGCATTGTTTTGGTTCATGGCTTTGGCCCAACCCTGCCTTGCCCCCTCTGCAGAGGGTGTCTGCCGAGGCAGGTGGCTCCTAATGTCTCTCCCTCTGTGTGCCTGCTTGTCTTAAAGGGGGGGGGAAATTGTAATATTTCCTTGTGTTTCTCTTTTGAAGCAACCCAGAGAGAGGCTACCCACGTCTCCAATGTCCAACCTTGAAAGGACACTTGCGTGATGATCCGTTTGAATATGGCACATGTTGCAATGACCAACATTGGACCCTGGCTCATACAAGCAGGACACCATCCATTCGGAAAACTTGACTTTCTCAAACTGGGAGTCACCTAAAATGGTTGGTTTTCTTTTGGCTTGACTTTGCATACCAACCAAAAGGGGTTCACCAGTTTGAGAATATGATGATATGTTGAAACAACCGCCTAGTCCAAGTCCCTAGGGAAGCCAAAGCGAGGTTCTTCAAACAGTTGGGTGGGGTACCGGAAAGCCTTGGGTGAGTCGCCTTTGCTTTTTCGCACAAAAGGGGGAGGGGTTCATGTGTAGGCATGTTTCTCTTTGGGTGGTGGGGGGAAGTTGAAGGAGAGGGGGGGGGGATTGTGGATAGCTCTCGAGGTGACGAATTGTTTGTCTGTTCCTTTTGGCTTTGGTATTGGTGGCCCCTTGTGTCTGACCCCTTTTGTCTGACCCCTTTTGTCTGACCCCTTGTGACGGCTAGTTTTAGTTGTGCTGAGCGCGCACATTTTTGACGGCGCCGGGCTGCGCGCTTTTTTTTGGTTGTGGCGAGCCTTCAGGCGGAGTCTGGGGTCGCCGCACCAGGACCTCATCGAGGCGGTGGTGAGCCGCAGCCCGAGGTTCTGAGCTTCGGCGGTTTCAGTTCGCCGGAGGGGTCCTTGGACTTTTGTAGACCTTTTAGATGGAACCGATAAATGATTTATCCCACCAAAGAATGATGTTGCAACTTTTGGGTATTGGCAACGAAGAGGGAAGAGGGCATTTTGTTGCTTCTGTCAGCCCCAGCGGATCCATCTTTTGTTTCTCAAAGGCTACCTGGAGAGAGAGAGAGAGAGAGAGCGAGACCACTATTCTTTGAACACGGGGTCATGACCCACAGAGTGCAAGCGTACATCAGCCCATGTTTCATGGATCTTATCAAACAGGGAGTCATTCTTGATGGTCTGTTTGCTTGTGGGCGACGAGGGCGGCCCAAACACGAAGCCATGCTGTAAGGAGCCACGCCAGGTGAAGCGAAGAACACCAATCCATGGACACATCCACGGGCTCACTGTGAGCCACGGCATCCCCAAAGCTCAAGTTCTGGACCGGCGTTCTTTCTCCCCATCCAAAACCTTGGGGTTCATCTAAGGCTTCCGAGCTGACTTTGTATAAGACTCTCCGGGTTTTCTTTGAACACGTCTTTGTTCCAAGAGGCATACCTGGGCGTTGAGTCGTGCCAAAACGCCGACCACGGGAAACCCGGGGGGGGGGGGGGGGAGTCGGCCTGAGGCTCTCAGGCCTGGCGGAGGCCGGGGCTCCGGAACTTAGCTGGCTCCTCAGGTCGCAAGCTTGCGGGGGTGGGTGGGTCGCAGGGTTTGAGGTCGAAATGTTATTTTAGGTTCCCGTTTCGAGGCTTCTAGGATTTTTAGGTTGCTTCTCGCGCGTGTCTAAGTGGTTTCTAGGTTGTGTCTGGGTTTGCTGGTGAGGGGCATATGTGTCATTGGCTTCCCCAGGCTTTTCTAAATGTTTCCGTTTAGGATTCTCTTGAGGGTACCGTTGTTTTTCCAGCTTTTGGGGGGTGTTTGAAATTCGAGCACTAAGGGGAAGCTTTAGGCTGTAGACATCTGTTGCCGTGGTCGTTGGATTCCTCTTGGCAGTCCATCTCTTGGAACCAACCTCATGCACCCCAAACAAGAAACACATTGTAGGCTATTGGGAGCTTCACGTCCCAGAAAGGTGAGTGGGGTGTGGCACAAGGGTGGTCTTCTGAGGGGTGGTGGGTCTCGACTCTTTGGTCTTTGGTGCTTTTGTCCAAATGGTTCCTGCTCCGGCCCCTATAACCCTGATCAGGCCTGGCGGCCCTATTTGCAGGAATGCAGGGGAATACGTATCTTTTCCTTTCGAAGAGCCCTCCCTCCCTGAACCAAAAGGAAGTAGCACTAGTCGAGTGCAGTAAGTTTTATTGCTGTGGCACCTTGCATCAGTTCCTGCACCTCGTTCGTCGGCAACTGCAACTTCCCCTACCTGTTGTCAAGCCGAGGGGATCCCGTTGACAAGCAACAGTTCGTTTTTGAGCCCCTTGACCCCGAAAAAAAGCCGGCGCCTCGTCCAGGAAGCCAAAAGGAGGGTGTTTAAGAAGCTGTCAACACCAAACAAGAGGCCAGCCGGAAAAAGGGGAAGGGCGACACCATCAAACTCTGAAATGGCTTGAAGAGCATAGTCTCAGAAGGATCGGATTCAGCATTCCAGAGAGGTGTCCTGAAATGTCTCGTCCCGCCCAGGTACGGAGCCTGCACGACTTGGACCAGGCGCGTGGAAGCTTGGGGGGGGTGGCGGGGGAAAGGGGAAGCCGCCCATTTTCGGTGTCCAAAGCCGCCTTTTGACGCACGCACGTAATGAACCCGAATTCATCATCCTTGTTATCTTTCTGGGTTGCATCTCCCCAGAAGTGATCTGGAACTCCATCTTGAAGGGGGCAACTCCGATCGGTTTATTATGAATCCTGGGTCAAGATCAGTTGCAGAACGTGCGGCGCGGGGTGTTTCTCATATCGGGGTCGTTTCCCATCTCGAGAACTTTGGTTCCGAAGAGGGTTCCGAGCTTTTTTCGGTGGGGTTGTGTTTGGAAGCAACAGTTCCTTCTGGCGAGTTCAAGAGCACCAAGGTGATTCTAGCCGTTTTGGAGTGCGCTTGCCTTGCATGAAACCGCGTTGAGAAGAACTGCGTGTTTAAGCAGCGTGTCTAAACCACCGCCTGTTTAAACTAGCGTGTTTGTGCAGCTGAGTCTTCAAACAACGTGTTGAGAAAAACTGTGTGTTTAAAGCACCATTCTGAGGAACAAAAGCAAAAACAACAGCAACAACACAACATTTGTTTGAACCGCCGTGAATCCAGCGGAACCGATGTTGTTTGTTTGACGCAACAATAGTTTGTTATTTTGGATTTCCTAGTTTGGACTCTCGGCACAGTGTTTAGGCTTAGGACTGAAGCAAGGCTTCCTCAGGGGCCTGGTGCTTTTGTTTGGATTCTCGCCGGCCGGAGAACACGGCTTCCTCAACGAGAATCCAAGCAAAAAGCACTGGGACCCCGAGAAAGTGCGTTCAAAATAGGGGAGTTCAACAAAGCAAACACCGGAACAGAACCTAACCAAAGTTGTTTTTCCGAGTGGGTTTGCCTTTCAACTCAACCAACAAGACAGAGGTGTTCTGTGGTCGGTTTGCAGAGCCGAACACATATAGGTCGAATCCAATTTCGGCTGACAAGCCTAAGTCAACCATAACCCGGGTTCCTTGTCTTGGCGGATCTGCTGATTCAATCAGCTTAAACTCTGTTGGGTTTCCGTGGGCTGGCAGCTGGCACGCATGCAAGTTGACTGCTTTGCCCAGGTTCGCATGTCAAAACATGTTCTTTTGTCTTTTTGTGACTGGTTTCGGCTCACCCGTGGCGCGTTGACAGGCCGCCGGTCTAAGGGATTTTGTCAGATCAAGCACGGAAGCACGGGGTGTGGCGCTATGGAGATCATACCAAGCTTACCAGGAGGGGCGAAGGGTGGGAGAGTTGAAGGATCAGGCAGAGGTGCCTTGCGGATTGTTTTGGGGCCAAAAGTGATCCTGAATTGCCGAAGGGACAGCCCGGTATCTACTTTCAAGTCGGGATTCATTTATCAACAAACTATGACTCAGATCCGGAGCCCAGCTTGCTTCACTCAAATTGAAAGCCTTTCGAATCCAACGGCAATGGCCTTGTCTTCTAGGTGTTGTTTTTGGGACCAGAACAAACTGAAATTCATAGAATCCATGTTTGATCCGACCTAGGGCACTCGACACCATTTAACGACAATTCAAGACATCCGGGGGGGGGGGGAACGGATACACCAGACCCAACACGTTTCAAAAGACAGACTGAAATCCGACGGCAAAAGCATATCTCCCCAAAGGATTTCCAGAGAACTTCCTGCGGTAAACGCCCGCGGGATCCATCGGGCTATCTTAGGCCCACGGTTAGGATGGCATGCCTGGGAGAACTCTTAACGAATCTCCGGTTTAGGGACCTCCAGCCATTTCTTTACAGACACCCCTGAAAACATATCCAGGCACAGGTCGTTCAAAGACAGCACCCCTCCTTTGATGTGTGTAGGAACTTTCGCACATCAAATCCTGTGCTTCATCTGCTTGAACCTCTCCGTGGGCTCGCTGGTGATCAGCGTGAGGAAGCAGAACACGCCGCTCACGAATCACAGGGCAGCGCCTCGAAAGCACCTGGTGGAGTTGTCGAAGCTGGGCGCGTGGGATGTGGGGGGCCGAAAAGGCTAGTCCAAAGCGGCTGTGTGGCCAGAGCATGGCAATGCATGATATTGCAGGCTTTCTGCCCTGTCACCGTCCTCACTGCTTGCTGCTTGCTTTTCTGCCTCTCTCGAGTGGGTGTATTTTTCTTGACCCGTTTTGGGGGAAGCGCGGAAAGCACCTACGGTTGATCGGAGAGTCAGCCAGCTGGTTGGCTTTCCGGCGTAACTGGTGCTTTTCCGGTGGATGTCAGTTCGGGTTGAAACAGAATCCCCAGCGCCGTTTCATTACGTGAGGGCCCTTCCCTGAGCTTTCTTTGCAGGAGGAAGAAAACCCGATACCCGTAGAAGCCATGAAGACACGTCAAATTCAAGTTGCCGTCGCAACCAAGATTTGCGGAGTCAGACATTTGCAGTGCCCAAGCCAATACCCAAACCGATGCCCAGCCGATAGCCAACTCATTAGCCGTCATGCCGCATCCAGTCACACTTGTGCTGAAAAGTTGTGACTTTGGAGCCGGAGCTGCCCAAGGGTACATCATGTACTACACACAGACTGAGAAGTTGCGACTCACTAACAATACCAGCGGGTCTCATGATATAACTCTTTGCATGTGTATCTTCTTGGAGGCTTGGCACTCTTCAGGGTTGTGAAAGCACATGAAAAGCATCGAGCCCATCGACAACTAATCCTACCACCGGAAACTGTGGCAGTTTTGAAGGGTGTAAATTTAGGTGCGGTTCTTCTTCTGTGGGCGCTCCTTTGGTTTGAGTGTGTTAGAAGGGAAGTACACCCACCTTTTCATTGACCCAATTGGGGTGTTGCTAAGGGAGACATCAGGTAACGGGAGACGAACGCCAGGATTCAACTTCCCGAGGAGTTCGTTTTGCGATTCGCGATTCCTATTAGGTTTTCAGCGGAAAGGCTCGCAGGCAGTTCCATTGAGCAATCCTTGCAATGCTTCTTCTTATTGTTGCCCAGCTCAGCAGCGAGAGAAGTGGGGTCAATTCACCAATCCTTGTTGGGCTCTTGTGAATACACGCATATCAATGCGTGTGCAAATAAATGCTTGTATACATGCACATCTGCATGCACGAATACCACCTCCACCTCTGTTTCTCTAAAGAAAAACTGTTTTTCCTCTCGTGTGCAAATGAGTTACGTGCATTACATACCCTATGTGACAAGTCCGCCCGGCATGTTGCAGACCCCTGGTCGCGAATTCCGCTTCACATCTTCCGGAGAGACAGTGAGGGATCAGGGAGTCCACCCAGCTGCCGAAGTCCGCCGCAAAGCCTTCGCCCTTCCACAAGCGCCTCACCCTCATACTTAAAGCCTTTCTGAGCTAGCGCAAAGCCTTGTCCAGCTGCGCGCAATGGATCAGCGACTCGGAGTTGGGTTGGCTCGGCGCCGCCAGCCGCGCGTCCAATTAGCGCGGCTTTCTTCCTCGACCATCTAGACGTCCCCCGGCTCCAGCTCCAGGGGCTCGAACGGCGTCCTCGATGCCGAAGTCCACTCTTTTACACAAATCAACTTGCTTGTGCCAAAGCTGCGACTCTCAGGATGGAGCGAAGGCGCACTTTGCGTACTACACCAACTGTCGAGCTGAACCTGAAGCGTCAAGCCCCGGATTCATGCATCCCCCCTAGACAAGCATGTATATATATATATATATACATATGGTACCCCCCCCCCCATGGATATACATTCCTTGAGAATTCACTGGCATGTGCAGTGTTTTGTGCCTTTTTGGTGGCTTTGGGGAAAGCAGCAAAAAAGGCGGATTTCCAAAGCCAGTCGGGTTGGATCTACCTCGGTCCTATTCCTAAGCTGAGGCTTTGTCAGAAGAGGCAAAACAACAGCTATGTTGCAGCCATTGGCCCAAAAGTGAAAACGCAAAGAACTAAACTTTTAGAGCCAATGACCAAAAGTAAGAAGAAAAACAAATAAAACCGCACACCTTCAGGAGATGTTCGAGAGAGGCGAAGCTTCAGGTCCGATCGTGAACACTCTTGTCCCCACTCTTGTTTCGTGGCCAGACCCCCAGCAGCGCAGAGGCCGACCGATCCAGGCGCGCCTGTGACAATTGCACAGGACTCTTGTCGCTTTTGCTGACCAAATCAGGTTGCTGAACGGTCAAGTGAATTCCATGCACCGGGAGTGGTGTGATGAAAATCAGCAGATGAGGGGCAGGATTAACCGCCTATCTACTGAGGTTGCGACCCAGGCAGACGCTGACCGAATGCGATTGATAGTTCAACGGTTTGCTGCCGAGGTGATACCTGATAGCAGGGCGATCGTTGGATATGCGATCGATGAGCAGAGTGCTATAATGGATGAGAGGATCAACTCACTTTCGACTGAGGTCCAGAGTTCCGTTCGGGACATCGAAGGCGGCTTGAATCAGCTTCATCAAGTTGTTGAGGACAAGCGCACTGCCATGTTCAGGAGCAACGCTGCTTTTGAGGAAAAAGAGTAAAAACAGTAAGAAAGTAAATACGCTTTTACTTTGGGCTAGCGGCGCCATAATTTCACTTTTGTATTTTGACATTTCCAAGCTGCCGGTTTGCATCTGCTGACCAGACCTGAGCTTAGAATGGACAGGTTTAGGGTGTAGGGTTTGGGGGTTTATTGACTCACGTTTATAGGAATCGGACTTATTTCTCGTAATTGGTTGTTCAATGAATTTCATTGGAAACATGTTTGTTTGTTCAAATAACACGGCTTTCTATGTAGACATTAGTGAAATCTAATCACGAAATGATTCGTAGAATCTGCAGTTTTAAAGATAATTCAAACAGGATTTCCTTTGTTGACGAAAACACAAAATTGGAGTTGTTCTTCCAAACTAGAATTTTGAAGATGCTCAGGGTGAGCTGATGCTGGTCAAGTCGCATCGGGCATTCCAAATAAAGCAGCTGCATTCCATCTCCAAAATAGCCTTCAACCAGCAAAAAAGGTAGATCCATCGGGGTTGCATATATATATATATATATATTATGTGTATATACATCTATGTATGCTATC